TTGTGCCCCTTAGGAAAATGGGGATTTGAGCATACTTTTTTTTTTTAAAAAAAAAAAAAAACAAAAACCCTGTCTCTTGGTGCTTGTTGAGAACGGCAAGCTGGTCTTGCAGGTAGAGATATTTATCTTTCCGTTTATTTGAAAGAGGTCTGGTTTAAATTTTTTAGCATAGTTTTGTTCTATTTATTTTGTGTTCGTGTTGTTGTTTGTTTGTTTACGGATGAAGCAGTCCTAGCCCAGCAGTTTTAAACTACCCGGTCCGTGCCGTGCCGAAGGCAAAGCAGCCCCAGTCCTGCGGGTTCCTCGGCGTCCTCCAAAGTGCCTGAAGGTCCAGTGAAAACCGGGAGTCGGGGAAGGGGTCTGTAGCCTCCCCTCCCCTCCGCACCTCATTGCTTTACCAAGGGGTGTCTTCTTTGTTCGAGGAGGAAGACACTTGCCACCTCTGGGCCACCTTTCGTGGTTGTTATGGGGGAGTCTTAACTTGCACAAATAGACTCTGAGACCAAAACCAGCTGATTTTTCTATTGAAACCATGGCCTCCCCCCACCCCCAAGACCTGAACAGCAAAAACTGAAGTTCCTCCTACCAACCCATCTGTCCTGTCATTGGCTCCAAGTCCCCACTGGGGCTCCTCTTTCCACAAAGAGACTGCCCTGCACAGGGAGGGGCCTGGCCCCCCGGGGTTCCCAGGAGGACGCTCCTTCCCTGTGAAGAGCAGGCTAGCTGAGCCCGTCCTGGTCTCTGACATGGGCTCAGGTGAGTGTGGGGAGCGCCGTGCCGCACGGCTTGGTTGCCGTTGCGAAGCGTCCGACTCCCAGCTGGCTGTATGTTTAACTCGCTTTGGTTGTTTTGGCAGTTTTTTAAAATGGAGATTTTACTTCTACCCACACCCTGCTGCCTTGAAACGCTTTGGTGAGGGTCTGGTTGGACAGCAGTAGAGTCAGAGAATCAGGTGGTAGGTAGTCCGCTAAATTCCCCCAAGCCACTCAGCCACCCGTGCGTATAGACCAGGGTAAGGGAAGAACCACTTCACCAGGAGCCGTGCTTCTGCGTGCCTTTGCCGGCTCTCCCTCTCTGAAGTTAACCGCAGGGGGATTTGCTGCTGGGCTCAGGGTGGCCGGGGATCTGCCAGCGCCTCTGTTCCAGACCTTGAGAGCAGCTCTAGGCACGGATCTGAAGTTCACCGGGGTTCCTCTTCGAGAGGGGCCAATCCTAGGATGACTTAGGCTAAATTCCCCAGACCGCACCCCACGCTAGCATGCCATGTTCCTCCACCAAGCTAAGCCAGTCAGGTGTCTGAAAGCGTGCCCAAGTTTGGGGGCCAGATGGAGGTGCTGTCCGTCCTCCCCAGGCTGCAGGGCCTAGTGAACGTCCCGGAAGGAGACTGGCCTTCTCACACACACGATCATCATCTCAGTCGTCACCCCACTTGGGTGACATGTGCACTTTAAATGCTCTCATCAGTTGGCTTCATTTTTGAGACAATCAAATACGTTAACTGTGTTTCGTCTTAGAAAGTGGAGAGGGTTAGAAACGTGCAAATCACCGTACTCAGACTTTGCCAGCACGCCCTCTGCGCCCCCAGGACAGCGGTCTGGGGGGAAGAAGTCCTCATCATGATTATTGGAAAAGGTACGAATCTGACCTTTTTTCCTCTCACGTGTCTCAGGGTGATACCACTAAAAGTTGTCCCTTGCTTGTAACCCTCCCAAGGCCTCAGTATTAGTAAGTATGAGTCTTTGGGACACTGTTGTTTGCTTTTTCCCTTTTTGGGAGGGACGGCGTTAGTGTCCAAGGTGTAATTAAGTGGGTCCCGCCCTAAATGAAGGGTAAAACCATAGCCTTATGGGCCAGGACTCGATCCAGAAATTGCTATTCATAGACGTACTGTAGATTTTATCCTTTTGTCCCTAAGGCCCTTTTCCCATAGCCAGGTCTTCCCAAGGGATTTTAGTATGTGTGCTGGAGCCCACGTTTACTGTAGATGAGTGTGTGTCAGCGACCAGGAGGATGGCTCTGAGGTGACCCAGTTGCCCTGGAAGGGCGTCTTCCCACCATGCTTGTCCGCCCTTGGAATGTGGACGCCTAGAAACAACCCTAGGATCACACGATGGCAGTGCTGGAAGGTCATGTGTTTGCGCTCCCTCGGTGGGACCATCTTGGCCGGTCTCCGTGTCACTGGGGCCCAGCCCACCCAGACCGTCTCACTAATCCATGCACAGAGACAGGAGGACGAAGAGTTTGTTTGGGCTTTGGTTCTTAATTTTTCTTTCAATGTAGCATCACATTCCTAGTTAACCAGAGTTTTGGAATCTACTACCTGCTGGCCAGGTTTGGGATTGAAAAGTATTTGAATACTGCCCCAAAAGGAGGGAAACAACTAAAAAGGAAAGGAAAACAAAGGCATCTTCCCACGGACTTATCTCATTTGTCAAAACCCGGACAGCCATTGAATCACTCTCCATCTCATTAAGGCTCCTTGACGGGCAACCCCACCATGGCTACGCGTCCCCTGCCACGGAAGCAGGACGACCTGCCCACCCGAGATCCAGGTGGGATGCACCTGACTGTGGGCCCGAGTGCTGCAGACCGGAGAGGCCACTGTGGGAGCACACAGCCTGTCAGCCCTCCACCCCCAGGCCTCCCCAGCACGAACTTCCCCTGCTGCCCAGCTCCACCTGACCAGGTGGACAGCCCTGAGCCGCCGCAGGGTGCACCCAGTGGTTTCCTGCGTGTGACTTGCCCACGGAGGGCTCACCAGGGAGGCGCTACTATCTCCAGCAGGTGGCTGGGTACCCCGGCTCCTCCACCCTCAGTGGTGGTTGCCTACGGCTCTCATGGACGTTTCTGTGCTAAATTCTATTAAAGAGAAGGGTTAAAACCCAAGTGCTGTATATTAATTTGTAATTATGTATAAAGTGAAGCAGTTTTAAACTGTAAAGTTTTTTTTTTTCCCTTCCATGTGTTTTCTGGAATTTTGCCACAACATGCTGGCTTTGTATTTTATTTATCTTCCTTTCTAGTTATTGGCTTCAGACTCTTGTAAAATCCCCTTCAGCCCTTTGGAAAAAATAAACTTCCTCTCAAGTCTCCATTGTTGCCGTGGTTTCTGTCGCCCCTGGGCTCCTGATGGTAGGGGAGGCCCCACTCCCCAATTCTGAATAGCATCC